CTGTCCCTTTGCCCCCCATCCCTGCCCCATCCCTTCGTTCCATTAAACCCATGTTCTTCCCACCCACCAGCCTCGCGCTTGGTTTCTTGGCCCCTTTTCACTTGAAAGTCGTGGCCTCCTCCCAGGTCACCAGCCCTCATGGGGTTTTCCTTGTGCTGAGATTGCCATGGGGCAGGGGGCCAGGCCAAGAGAGGAGCTCACTCTCTGTCTGCACCTCTCCGGGCCCCTTCCAGAGCTGTGGCTCTGTGGAAGAAGCAGCTGAGGCGAGAGGAGGGGCCAGAGCCCTATCTAGAGGAGGGAAGAGGAAGACGGGTTGTGGCTGCTTCTTGCCACCCACATTTCTCTTGCAGGTCCTGGCCTGCTCTTGCTTGCTGAGGTTGGGGCTGTACAGGGCTGCTACCAGGGGTCACAGAGAGGGACAGTGGTGACTTTGCAGTCGGTCGCCACAGAAACAAAATTCGGGCACAGCAGGGCACTACCCAGGCTTGGCCAGCAGAGGGACCCACTTCCTCAGGACCCCCACGCTCTGCTTCCCGCGCTCGGAAGAGCATGGAAGCGATGCTTGGCTTGGCGGATGCTTGGCTTGGCGGCAGGCGCGACCACAAGGGGGTAGCACTGCTGTGAGTGACCCCACTCTGCCGTGAGGCCCCTGAGCGGCACAGATGAGCTCTTGGGGTGAGTTGCAAGGACCTAGTGGAAGGCAAAGCCTGCTGAGCTCGGGCTCCCTGGATACGGTCGTGGTCCCTGAGGCGTCCACAGCGTGTCTCTGCGGCCTTGCGTAGGGGGTGTGGCGCCGGGGCACGAGTGTCTGGCGTGCACGTGTGTCTGGCGTGCAGGTGTGTGTTTGTGTGCAGGGATGTGTGTAAACAAGTGGATGCACACAGCCACATTTCAGCTGCTTATGCCCTCACCTGTGCTGTTCCAGGGGACCATCCTGTGACTCCTAGGGCTGCAGAATGAGGGTGCATGCCACTTCCTTTCAGGGGATTTTCTTGTTTTTTACAAGCCAGTTAGCAGACAATACACTGACCTTTTAAAAATTAATTTATTTATTTGTACATCTTCCTTCATTCTGTACAATTTTCCATCTCAGTTGTGGTCCCCATGGGCTTCCCACTCCCAGTTCACCCTGTGCCCTCTTCCTACCCCAGTTTTTATCTCATTCCCTTTCCACCTATACCATGTCTCTGTTTTATAGTTGTTTGTTGTTCTCATTTTCACTTTATTACATTTGCTTCTCTCTCTTTCTCTCTCTCTTTTTTTCTTTGTCTCCCCACTTATACTCCTACTATGAGTGAAACCATCCAGTATTTTTCTTTTGCTTTCTGACTTATTTCACTAAGCACAATCCCAGCTCCATCCATGTTACTGCAGAAGGCATGAGTCTATCTTTTTGATTGCTGAGTAATATTCCATTGTATATATATACCACATCTTTTTAATCCAGTCATCTATTTTTGGCATTTGGGTTGATTCCTTGACTTCCCTATTGTAAATAGTGCAGCAGTAAACATGGAGTGCAGGGATCCTTTTTTTTTTTTTTTATCAATGTTGTTGTATCCTTTGGCTAGATACCTGGGAGTGGAATTGCTGGGTCGTAGGGAAGCTCCATTTTTAGCAGTTTGAGAAACCTCCAAACAGCTTTCCATAGTGGTTGTACCAGTTTGCATTCCCACCACCGGAATACACTGACATCTTTGCTGGCCTCAGGTTCTGGTGTTCGGTTATTGTTGGGGAATGAATGAGAGCAGCCCTACTGTGTGCTACCTGTGCTGCTCCTGCCTGGACAGTGGCGGGTTGGGCACACTCCTGGCCTCTCCATCCACCTGACTATCTTTCCAGAACACCTACTACGTAGCAGCGCTGTGTGGTGCTAGTGACTCATGAAGAGCTAAAAAAAAAAATCCAACTTAAACAGCAAGTTGTTTCAAAGCTGTAAAGGAAAAGAGCAAAATGCTACAGAAAGAACAAGCAGGCCTGGGGAAGAGCCTCTGAGGGCCAGTGGCCGGTGAATTCCCTCCAGGGTGTGAGGTGTATCTGTCCTTCCCTGCAGCCGGTCAGAGCTCAAGGCTTGGCTGGGCCTGGTGGAGGCTGTGAGCAGCTCGGGATGCTGGTGTGAGTCCTTCGAGGAGGTTCGTCACTGGAATGCTGTGTGGAAACACCCGCTGGCGCGACTCAGGAGACGTGGGTTCTAGTCCTGACCTGCCTCTCACTCGCTGTGTGTCTGTGTGGAAGTTACCTGGAATTCTCGTCTTCCTTTTTTTTTTTCCAGCTGGAGATATAACACCCTGCACCCCGCCTACACACAGGCTCCTTGTAGGGCTCAAATGAGGTAATGGGTGTGAGGGCTCTTTCAGACACTGGGGCGCCAAAGGTATGAATGAGGTCATTAAACCAGCAGCTGAGATGGGGGTGCTGATCGAACCACCGGGGAGACCAATAGGCGGAGAGGGGAGAGGAACGTCACTGGCCATGTCAAGGTTGGGGGAGAGCAGCCGGGACACCGGACTTGACTGTGGCCAAGGGAGGTGAAGTGATATCAGGGTGGGGGGGGGAGCAGGTTGGGGGGTGCATTTCAGTCTTGTTGCTTTCTCCACCTGGAAGGATGGAGTCCAGCTCCTGCGGTTCTCAGAAGGCAGGGAAGTCTCTGCTTTTGAAGCCACAGCCGTCGGTCGTGAAGAAAGGCGGGCTGGGAATCTTCAGGGCCAGTAATAGCTGAACCAGAGAGTGGAGCCAGGTCACTGAGACTCACCAACCACGGCCCTCGGAGATCCAGCGGAGCCGGCCCTGCACCCGCCAGGCCTCCAGCCTTACACGGCAGACCTTGCCCCTGTGCAACCCGGCCCTGGCTCTATCCTTGCACATGGCACTCACGCCTCCCTCATTATCCTCGTGTGCTCAAATGCGGCCACAGAGCGGCCAGGCACGCTCCCATGTGGAGATCTGGAGTTCTGGGCTGGGTCCTAGGCCTCTTACTAGCTTATGGGATTTGGAGAAATTAACCTCTCTGGTTCTTCAGTTTCTCCTCTATGAAACGGGGGTGATAGTCACATCCTTTCTGTAGTGGCAGATGTCGGGAGCCCCTGCTTGGAACACACTCAAGCGAATTCACCCCATCTCCGGAGGCTCCAGCTGCCTCAACTGACCTGCCAACGAAATAGGGAGCCCCAGGAAGAGCCCTGAGGCATCTTCCCTGTCCTCTCACTCCCGGTCTCAGGCTTGGGTTCCATTGTCTCTAGAAAGAAGATGACACATTTGTTGAGGAGGCACTGTTAGGAGGCGATGGGGAGGAGCCCTGAAGGGTTCTACTTTCTGAGTCCAGGGGTTCTGCTTAGCACCAGTGGTGTCTCCAGGAGAGCAGCACCAGAGCCAGCCCCGCCCTGCCTGTCTGCTGGCTCTGGGGATAGACACTGAATGACTGAATGACTTCCCTCCCTCCCTCCCCCTCTCCCCCTCTCTCTTTCCTGTCTTTACATCTAATAGCTGAGAAGTGCACACTTCAAGACAGCACTGTAGTAAATGCTAGAGGCAGAAACAAAGCACTTTGACACTTGAACCCTACCTGTTAGCCATTAAGACTTAGGAACTAGTATATTGCCGTGCAACACGGTCAGCTTCATGGAGCCAAGAGACCCAGGTTCAAATCCCAGCTCCATCACTTGCAAGTGCCTGGCCTTGAGATGCAGCCCTTAACTTCTCTTTGCCCAATTTTCTCATTTGAAAAAACGGAAAATAAGGCCTTCACTGGTGGTGCAACAGGTTAGGACACAGCACAGCAAGCTAGGTGCAGCCGCCTCAGTGTAAGTTCAATCCCCGGCCCCGGAAGTGACCCACATGGCACAGCAGACCTCTCCTGACCCACCCGCTGCTCCCCTCAGCAGTGGACTTCGTCAGTTGGCCTCTTCTGCTCCCCACTCTGTCTCTAGTGAAGCCCCTCACCGCCCCTGCACCTCTGGTCTGTACCCCAGTTCCGTATGCACAAATAAATAAATCTTTTTAAAACATGGAAAATAATCCACTTCAAGGAATAATCCATTTCAAGGTTCTCAGAGGATTAAATGGGGTAACATGTCAAACACTTAACCAGAGTTAGATGCTCAGGAAACCTGACATATCGTAGGCACAAAAGAAAAATTCTGAATGGGTTATGAGCTAGGAAATATACCCTCATTCCAACCTGCTTCTTTTTCTTCTTGCTCGCTTTATGGAGAGTTTGGGATTTAATTCTGGGGCCGGGTGGCTTCTTAGGCTTTGTGTCTTCTCTCCAGTGAGGCCTAAGGCTGTCACATGGTGGGCCCAGCTTCAGAGACAGGGCAGGTCATGTGGTCAGTGCTGGGCAGAGGGTGGCTGTGGTCTGAGTTGCAGACGGGGCCAGCCCGGCTGCCAGAGCTGACCCCTAGCCCAGCTTCTGGTTTCAGAGACCAAGGGTCTGAGAAGTGAGACTTGCTCTGGTTTTCTTTTGATGGGGAACCCCAAAGGAGAGGCTGAGAGGGGCCTGAGAGTGACTGAGGCGGGGTGCTGGGTGGAAAACTACAGGCTGCTTGCTATCTCACTTCATACCCTGGCCCTGCTGGGAAGTTCTAAAATACAAGGGGAAGCACATGCAAAGGGAATTTCCCTTTCTCCCCACAACTTCCCCTCCCTCCACTCCACCTGGGGCTGAAGAAGCATCTTCATTGTCTGAAGGCAGCCTGCTTCTTCTGAATGAACCCCACGAGACAGGGCGGCTCAGAAACGGTGAGAGGACCCTGTCTGGAAAAGCTCGCCAGCACCCAGCATGGAGCACGTACAGCGACAGCCTTATTCAACAAATACCAGCTCACCCTGATACCTGCCAGGCAATCAGGCAAGCACGGGCTTGGCCTCAGAGCCAGGAGGTCGCCAGAGCACTGTCCTCACCACCTGGCACTGGACCCCCCCAAAGCCACAGCCCCTGCCCCCAGACGCCCCACAGCCAAGCCCAGCGAGGCCTGTCCAGCACTCTGCACCCCCACCGCAGTTCACATATTGAAAGTGAGACTCAGATCTGTCCTCAGAGACGACTGGTCCTCTCTCTCAGGTCTGGCTGACAGCAAACCCGTGTTCGTGTTCTTTCTAGATTATGCCTCTGGAGGTCTGCCCTGGGCACCTTCTCTAGGAAAATCCCAAGGCAGGGGCAGCGGTTGTGAAGGTCCAGAGCCTTGCCCTGAAACCACAGAAGCAGGTGCTCGGTGGAAAACTCCAGCGTGTGATTCACCCGATTCACCCTCCTCCCCTGCCCGCGTGCTGGGCAGGGAGGCTGGTTCCTCTCCCCAGCTTCTGGTTCCAGTCTGGGAGTGGGTGGCCCCCACCCACTGCTCGGGTAAGAGAGGGCAGTACCTGGCCCCACTGGTCCCAGAGCCTCTCCCTGTGGAAGGAGCTGGTCTGAGAGGCAGTGAGGGGGTGAGCAGGGGGAAGGGGGGGGACCAGGGGCTGAAAGAGGGGAGATGGGGACTCCTGTCCTGGGACAGAGCCCGCAGGGAGGGCAGGAGGGAGGCGGGTGGGAATGAGGTGGGGGAGGGGGCCGGGGACAGAGGACTTCATTTCCTGAGGTTGGATGTTGTAATCCTGGTTCACAAGTTTTTGGCCTCAATCCCTCCTGTTGCTTGTGGTATTTCTCTGCCCCTGCACTTCTCAATTCACTGGCGCAACACACACACACTCACACACACACAGAGTCACTTTCTGTCTGGGACTCCTGGGATAAGCTCGCTGATGGGATTCGGAGCTGGGAAGAACCGGGAGTGAGGCGCGGGGCAGTTTCCCTTTCAGGTCCGCTGTCTTGGATTCTTCCTGCCGGCTTCCTGGGACTCGCCCGCCGCTGCCGCCGCCGGGGACCTGCGACATGCAGCTGAGCTGAGGCAGGCGCCTGGGACCGAGGTGAGCAGGAAGGGGAGGGCTGGCTGACCGCGCCTTGGGCAGGCGGCTGGCGCTGGCGGGTGAGAGCTGGGAGGGTAGAGCCGGGAGCCTCCGTGAGCCTCCGTGCTGCCGTCAGCTGGGGGAGAGAAAGTCTGATGTTGGGGATCCCAGGACTCCTTGTGCCACCCCAGCTCTCACCACCCACACACTCGGAGTTGCTCAGAGCCAAGTCTGGGCAGCAGGAAAGTCCACAGATGGGGGGCCGGTCACCCCAGTGGGTGACGGAGGGGCTGGTCATCTGACTGAGCGGCAGGAAAGGCAGCCGGTGCAGGGCAGAGCTGGGAAGCAGAGCCCCTGGGCATTCCCGGGGGCCCACGACCTGCACTGGGGCAGCCAGGGGCTCTGCCCTCTCCCCATCAGGCGGCGAGCCTCCCGGAGGCGCTGTCCCGCTCCGGGGTGGCCCGGAAGCGGCTGTGCTTGTGCTGAGCCGCAATGCCAGAGCTGAGGGGAAGGTGCAAGGGTGACCATGGAGCCAAGCTGCCCGGGGTGTGAAGGACTTGAGGGGAGCCAGGTTTTGGTGTTGTGCACACAGGTATGTGTGTGCAAGGGGACGTGACGGGAATGGCACCAGTGTGTGAATAGGAATGGGACCTGGTATGTGGGTGTGGGCTGGGCAGGGGCTGGGACGTCCCGTGTACCCCCCTCCCACGCCCATGCCAAGCTGTGTTGGACTGGGAAGTGTGACAGGATGGCCCTGGGGCTCCAGCAACACGTGGGGAGTAGCGTTTCTGTACTTGTCAGCCCCCTGCTAGACCCTGGTGAGACTTCTGTCCACATGGCCAACTTCTGCAGTCAGTTTGGGACTTGCGCGTCTTGAATATTTCCTCCGTGGGCAGTACTGAGCCTGGTGGGAGGCGTCCCTTACGGTTGAGGTCCATCTCATGCCCGGAACCAGCCAGCTTGGCAACGCAGTGGACAGTGTGGGGAAGTGAGGCGAGGGGCTGGAGAGTGACAGCCAGGATGGACCCTCGGAGGGGAGACAGCTCTGATGTCATCTTGACGGTGGCTAACACTGTGGTTAACTCTTCCTAAGAAATGGGCTTGGGGTACAAGGACAAAATGGGGAGGCTGAGTGGGGGGCAGGAAGGTGGGCTGTGCAGCTGTTTTGGCTTTTGAAGGTGTCCCCCAAAAGGAGAGCCCCATACAGCTTGTTTCAATGCCTGGACAGTTCTTCCCTGAGTCTAACTTAAACCCTGCTTGCTGCAGTTTAATCCTGTTTCCCCTTGATTCACCATGGCTCTGGGCCAACTTTCCTCTTCACGTGCTCTTGCTTTCATTCTGCCATTCTGGTGCCTCCTTCTTACCCATAGGTTATGTTCCTCCCGTTGTTTTTTTTTTGTTTTTTTGTTTTTTTTTTTTCAGTAGCCATGTCACATCAGTATCAGTTCATCAGTTTATATTCTCTTTTGTCTCTTGCCCTATCCCCAATACAACCCAAATCCTGGGCCCAAACTGGACTGTGGGAGTTACTTCCCTGTCTCCAGCTGGCCTCTGGTTTCCCTTCATTTTCTCCTTCTCCCCAACTGCTCTTTCCTCCCCCGCCTTGGAGGACAGCTTGGCCCTGAAAGAGCTGCCTCTAATTTGAGAACTGGAGGCTGGTCTCCTGACCACGCCCTTGGCGACCCTTGTACCTGGGGCTCTTGCAGAGCTGAGCTCCCCAATGGCCTGACAAGCAAAGGAAATCACCTCTCCTTGTCTTTCATGGATCTCTCTTCTTTCCCCCTCCCGATTGCCTGTGCAACCCCCAACCCCGCCCCAACACCCTGTCGCGCAGAGGCCATTTTCTCTTTGCAGGGAAGTTAAAGCCCAGAGAGGACCTGTGATTTGCCTAAGGTCACACAGCAGATTACTGACTCAACTCCACCGCCTATTGTCTTGGTAAGTGGATTTAAACCTTTCAAAAATAGCTTCACTGAGCACCTGCTGGGTGCCAGGTCCTGTTCCTTCATCTCTCTGAGCTTCATCTCCTCACTTACAAAGTGGGATTCCTACAGTGATACCTCAGCAGTTAGCTATGAAGATGAGACTTCATATGTACATAAAGATGGATATGTTTTTAGCATAGCGCTTACTCAGATCTGCACTTTTATTGTTATGCTGAAATGAATTTGGGTTTCATCAGTGTTTTAGTTCATTCATTCATTTGCTCATACATTTGCTTGTTAACAATTCAGGGGACATGCTTCAGCCCCAATTCTGCCAACACCTACAGCCTTTCCCCTGGGACCAAACTCTCCCCCTCCCCCACCCCTCCCCTCCAAGACCTGGTTCTTAGGTTCGGGGACTCTCACTCCCACTCAGGAGCTCTGGCTCTTTCCTTCTTTCTCATTCTTGCTCCCTGCATCCGAGGCTCAAGGCCTTTGATTTCCACTGGGGCCTCTCTTCTCGCCTGTCCCCTGGCCTGCGTTTGCACGAGAAGCCTCTGAGGAGGTCCCAATACCAGAATTTCACTCTGCTGAGCTTTCCCATTCCTGGTGTAACCTGCACCCTCCAAGTCACCTTCAAAAATTTCCATAACCTCAAATGGCTCCTGCCACGCCTTTCTAACTGACTTGGGCTTGGGCTGTTGCCTGGGTTAAAGAACCAACAAATAAACACAGACTCTTCTTTTCATAAAAAGAATCCCTTGTGTTTCTCTAGGGCCTAGGGGGAGCAAGGGACACTTACAGCTCCTGGTCACTTTGATTCCTCCACTGCCCCTTGAGAGCCCAGAGGTGCTGGGCGGGTGAGCACTGCAGGCAGACACGGCCTTGACAGCTCCCTGGAGATAAAATGGGAGGTACCCTCAGAGTGATAGTGCTGGGGGTGGGGGGTGAGGGTGTGGGAGGGGAAGGCGAGTGGAATCCACACCAGGCGCTGCAGGGTGCTGCAATTATCTCTTGGCAGTTGACTGACAAGTAGGGGCACAGAGTAAAACTGAGAGTGATCCACACCATATTTCTGGAGGCCCAGGGCACGCTGGGCTCTCTAGGAGGGCAGGGAGGTGGACTGACATCAGGGGCAGCCACTCTGGATCTCCCTTGAGGCACTCCCTCTGGTGTGGAGGCTGGAGATGACCACTACCCAAGGGAGAATTGCTCCTGTGGTGTGACCCCTTCTACCACCCCCCCCACACCTGTTCTCAGAACAGAGATAAAACCAAGAGCAAAAGAAACATGGTTTCTTCGAAGGCCTATTCTTGCACTGGCGCCAATCCCAGCCGTCCTCTGGCCTTGCTCAGAGGTCCCACCTTCCCCTTCCCTCCCAATCAGATGCCCAGAGCAAGCTGGCTCCCATGTTTACCCTGAGCTGATCGATCACCCTGGCACCTGGGTGAGCACACAGCTGGCCAGGGGAAGACCATGCAGTTGCCTCGGTCACACCTGCCCTTTGACCTCCTGTCTCCCCCAGCAGCCTTTGAACCCTTCTGGAGTGAGGAGCTGGGCCAGGGAGGATGGCGGCTGGCTGTAAAAATCAAAAGGACTTGCACCCACAGCCAGAAGCCTGGCTTTTCAGCCCAGCCTGCTCCCCAGTGTTCTTGGCGAGTTACTTCACTGCCAGGGCTCAGATTTTCCTGCCTTCCAAATGGGCGCTCTAAAATTTGCTCCCTCTTTGCTCTGAGAGTCACAAGAGCAAAATGTCACACGAGGTGTAAATGTCAGTGAGAGTTTGGGAAGAAATCAGTAAGGTGTCCACAATATGAAATAATACTGCAATAAGATCAGCTATTACAGCGATATTCCGACAGGAGTGAAAGACCGGGTGTCGGGGAGGGGGGCGTGCGCTGGGCCGGAAGCTCACCCCTTCTCCTCCCATCAGGCTGTGTCTGTCTCACCATCCTGCCCGCTCCCAGCTCTGCCGCACCTCCCACTCGTCACACGGCTATGGACAGAAAAGTGGCACAGGATGGGACGCCTGTGGTCTCCTGGGTTCCGGAGGAGGGAGAGAAGTTGGACCTGGAAGGCGAGGACCAGGTGAAGGATCGGGGCCAGTGGACCAGCAAGATGGAGTTTGTGCTGTCAGTGGCCGGGGAGATCATTGGGCTGGGCAATGTCTGGAGGTTTCCCTATCTCTGCTACAAAAATGGAGGTGGTGAGTTCTCTTTGAGGTAGGCGTGGTGGGAGGCTGTGCCCTGACCACCAGGAGCATCTCCCCGGGCGCAAGGGGGTGAAATGGAAGGAGGCGCGAGGGGAGTTGTAGGACTCAAGTTAGAGTTCTAGCTCCACCACTAACCTCGGGGCCCCCCTCTGTGAAATAAGGGTGACACCTCACAGGGCTACAGTGAAGACTGAGTGAGGTGGTGGGTCTGGCCCAGGAGTCTGAGTATTTAATATTCTCCTCCTTCATTACTTTATCCTAATGCCAGTTATCGATAGGATTCACTCGTTCAAACATTTTATTCAGTAACATGTTTTAGGTTTAGATGGACAAATTATGTTCTACATCTTTCAGCTCTACATCATGATCTGTACCAAAAACCTAGTCTTCATCCATCACCATACACTTGACACCCTTTACCCTTTTCACCTGCCCCTGAACCCTCTTCCGCTATAGTAACTAACAATGTTTCTGTATTTAAATTTGTATTTGATTTTTTTTTATGTTCCACATGAGAAAATTCATACAGTATTGTATTTCTCCATCTGATGTATTTCATTTAACACACAGCTCTCTGAGTCCATCCATGTTGTGGCAAATAGCCAGATTTTCTGTTTTTTTAGAGCTGAATAGTATTCCACTGCGTGTATGTGATATCTCCTTTATCCATTCATTCATCAATGGATATTCCACATCTTGGCTGTTGTAAATAATGTTGCAATGAATATAGGATTGCACTGTCCACTGTAGTAGTGCTTTCAGTGTTTTGGATTAAATACTCAGAGCTGGAATAGTTGGATCACATGGTATTTCCATCCTTAATTTTGCAAGGAATGTCCATACTGATTTCCATATGATCGCACCAATGTACATTTCTACCAACCACATCCTTGCTAACCCTTGCTTCTTGTCCTTTTGATAATAGCCGTTCTAACAATTCTGAGGTGATATTTCATTGTGGTTTTGATTTTCAATTACCTGATAAGTGTGATGAACACTTTTCTTAGGTGACTAAATTGGCTGTTTGCCATTTTTGGAGAAATATTTATTAAGGTCTTCTGCCCTCTTTTAATTGGGTTGTTTATTATTTTGTGGTTGAGTTGTATGACTTCTTTATATATTAGATACTGGCCCTCAGTTGTATGAATGATTTGCAAATATCTTCTCAATCAACTAATATTGTTGTGGGCTTATCGTTTGCCAGGTCCTGTCTAGCTATAAAACAGAACATATTCTGTATGTTATAGGTAGCAGATTACAGACAAATATATCAAACATGGTTTGTTAAATGGTGATGAGCAGAATGGTGAGAAGCAAAGCAGAGAAGAGAGTAAAGGGAAGTTGATTAAGAGCTGGGGAGAGGGGCTTGAGACCAAAAACCAGGAGAGGTTTCATTGAGGAGGTGACATCTGAGCAAAGACTTAAAGAAGTTGAAGAACTGAATCCAGTACACTGAAACCAGATGAGATAATTCCAGAGATAATGGCAAGTGCAAAGGTCCTGGGGTCAAAGTGCATCTGGCATGTTCCCGAATAGCCGGAAGGCAGGTGTGGCTGGGAGATGAGAGCCGGGAAGGGTAGCGAGAATGGGGTCAGAGAGGTAAAGGTAAGAGGACTCAGATCCTGCTGGCTCTGCTGAGTGAGATGGAGCAATTAGGTATTATCTAGTCTATAATTTTTTAATTAAAGAACTATGTTATTAATGTCGAGGACTAGGAGTTTAAAATGAGCAGAAGCGTGGTAGAAAGGTGCCACACTCCTGAGTGCACCATGCAGCTGGCCATTAGTGTATTCGCAGAACTGTGTGACCATCACAGTTGATTTAGAACATTTTCATCCTCCCTCTGAAGCAAATCCATTAACAATAGCTCCCATCCCCCTCCCCTAGGCCCTCGGCAACCACTGATCTACCCTCTGCGAATGGTCTCGTCTCTTCGGGCTATTTCATGTAAACAGAGTAATGAATCTATCTGAATGTATTTGTCACCATGCAGTTTTATTTTTATCTTTTGAAAATACTTTGATTCTTCTTGTGGCCACGATATATGTTTATTGCGTTGGTGGAAAACATTCCAGAAAAGTGAAAAGGCGAAACATTACTGTTTAAAGATAACCCTTGTTTAGAAAATCCTTCTAAACGTTAAGTGAAATCCTTCATAGTTCATTTAACAAATATTGACTACCGTATATCTTGCTCTGTGCTTGAAACCTTTCAGTTAATACCACCAATTGCTTGAACCTATGACTCCAGAGAAACAAAAGTGGGGTTTCCTGCTCAGGTCAGAAATGTGGGTAGCAGCTACGAGGGAGACTGAGTGGATGGATCAGGGGAAGCAGGAAGCAGTGGTCACTTGTCCCTTTGTGCCAGGACACAGTTTCAAGGACATTAAGCAAGAGCACAAGGTGATCGAGTCCTTATTTCACAGAGGAGGACACAGGGTCTCTGTCAGCTGGGGACTTGGCCAAGACCACAGAGCTGACTGGCAACAGCAAGCGCTGTGTTCAGAGACTCCCCCGCCAGGGGTGCGCCTTGCCTGGCCTCCTGAAGGAGGGCGGAGGGCCCAAGAGCAGGGACTCAGCTTCCAGGGCCAGCCTCTGTCTGTCTTTCCTGATGGCTGCAGCTGTAGCTGTGACCTGGGTGCGGGGCAGGCCGTGAAGTGTGGGGCCTGTGTAGGTGGCTTTACCGTGAAAGGTCTGTGTCGTGTCCATCACCTGCATGGTCACTTTAGATCCGTCCCGACCTGCCTGCTTGGGAGAGACAGTCTACTGTCCCTCCATCTTTGCTTGTTCACCTTTCAAGGGTCCCAACCTGGGGAGACTGTTCTTTGGGGGCTTAGGGAGGCAGTCATGAAGTTCCAGGAATCAGTTTCTGCATTTCAGGCGACTTAATAATGGACCTATGTGGGAAGGTGACAGATGAACACAAATACCTTTTTTTTGGCTTTAGAATGATACGAATCCATCAAGGCAATAGGGCTTATTTCAAACGGACCACAAGCTCTGACTGACAGTTAAATGTGGCTTTTATTAATACATGCACAGAAATGATCATTAATAAACCCAGTTCCAGGGAGAAAAAGCTTTTGAAAGAATGAAAAATCATAGTAAGTCTACTGGCTAAATAACATCATTGGTTATAAAAAAGGGGGGGCAGCCATTCCATTTGTGAACTAACATTCTTTTTCCTTTTTCCCTGCCTTGCTTCTTGCCATTCCACTCATCCTTAGGAAGTGATTTGGCCTAGAGATACTTTAAAGAAATTCTGAGTTTCCAGACTGTCAGTGGTTCTGGAACAGAGATCATAAGGCAGCACGTAAAGCAGAGGGGAGGAGCTTGTAGACAAGGCTCAAGTCACCCTGTCTCACCCTCTGGCTGTGTGTGCCCCTAATCTGGCAGGTGCCAGAACTGTGGGTCAGATTAATCTCCACATGGTGGGAAGCTCGGGAAGAAAGCCAAGGCGGGGGACCTGTCCTATGGCAATCTCTTCTTGCTGCCCCCCGAGACTTAGTTTAGTGCAGTCTTTGCAGGGAAGACTCAACCAGAGGGAGACCCAGACCTCCTAAGGCCTCCCTCCTCAAGTCGCCCCTTCTATGGGCAACTTCTGAGGATAGAACCAGAGCCATCTGCTCGACTAGCGGGAAGACCCTTCAAGAGCTAGTAGGAAGGAGCCTATGATAACCTGCCTGCCATGCTCCGCTGGGGGCATCCCCAGGTGTCTCCCTTCTGAACACACCCCTCAGCCTAGTCCCTGCAGCCCACAAGCCACTTAAATCAGACTCAGTGGTGTTGTTGCATAGTGTATACTGAAACTCTTGCATTTCTCAGGACGTAAAAGGTAAACTCAGTTTAGAGAAGACTTCAGGACTTGATTCTCACAGCTCCCTAGGATCCTGGGGACGCATAAATCCTCTTTTATTCTCACTGTTGCTGTTGGAAGTGCAGAGGAGTGTGAGGTTCTTGGGAGGGTGATTTCAAAGTGCATATCAAAGACGTTTAAATGTTTATACCAAAAGTTGGAAACAACCCAAATATCTGTTGATGGAATAAATGGAAAAACAAAATGTAGTCTATCCATCAAGGGAATATTATTCAGCCTTGAAAAGTAAGGAAATCCTGATACATGCTTCAACATGGATGAACACTGAACACATCTTGCTAAGTGAAAGAGGCAGACACATAAGGATAAATACTGTCAGACTCCAGTTTCCTGATGGACGAGCACAGGCATACTCAGAGAAAGAGAGAGTAGGGTGGTGCTTGGCAGGAGCTGGGAAGGCAGGGTATGGGGAGTTCCACTTGAGTGGGTGTGGAATTTTGATTTGGGATGGGTGAAAAAGTCCTGGAAGTGGACAACGGTGTGATGGCTGTACATCAGTGAGAATGTACTTAATGTACTGCACACTTGAAAATGGTGACAATGGTAAAATGTATGTTATAGATCATGGACCATACAACACAAGGACATACTCCCTGACCCCGTAATTCCTCTTCTGGAAATTTATAGTAGGTAGCAAATTAGGCACTTGCAAAAGGATGTGTATGAAATTCATCACAGTACTGCGTCTAACCAAAGGGCTAAAAAAGTCCAGAGACGGTACAGATGAGATTAGCTAGAATGGATGTATGAGCTGAGGTATATGCTTACAAATATGGAAGGAGGCTTGTGATTTTTAATCCACACACACATTTATATACATACATTTTTAATGGTTGCCAAGTAATATAAAATAGGCTCTCATTTTTGCCAAAAAATGTAAAAAAGAAACATGTAAAACCTGTGTATTTATAAGAAAGTTAGAAGGATTTTTTTTCTTTCCCTTTTGGGTTACTTGTGAGTCATTGCAATGTAGTGCTTCACAGCAGACTCAGTTTTCCCTGTTTTCTCATCCATGTCCCAGTTTTTGAATCTTCAAGCTGGCCTCATTTTTCTCATCTATAAGCTGGCGATAACAATAGTACCCGTGGCGTGGGAGGTTGTTCTGTGAGGACTGTTGATGTGAAGCATTTAGAAGAAAGTCTGATAGACAGTAAGCGCCTAATTGTTGCTTAAGTGTCAGTGCCTGTGCAATAAGCAATAATCATGCACCCATGGGTACATTTCAGAACCGCAGTTTGTGCCTTAGTGACTGGGTCTAGACTTGATTCTGGTGTCATTTGTGGGATGTCTTTCAGGTCCAGCCTCCCAAGGGGGCCCACAATCAGTGCCTAATCATAGCCTACTTAACCCCAGCCCCCAAGTCTGCCTGAGCAGAGGGGTGGCCTTTTCTGCTAGAACCTCCATTCAGAACAGGTGGGGGCAGGGGGTGGAAGCGGTGGGGGGTGGGGTGGGGGGAGAAAACCCCATTGAAAATGATTGGAGGGAAAATAATTTTTCCAAGGTGTTTCTGTTTGTTTTTCTCCAAAGTGTAACAAACACGATAATTTAATAAGCATATCAAATTATACAGAACATATGTTTTTGTTCCAAAAATAATAAATGGACTAGATTTGTGAAGCACACTGAGAAAATAAATAGTGCCTATATTAGATTTCCACCTACATTTTCCTTCACTTCCCTTCCGACGTCTTTCCTATCCCCACTGGGGTTTGGACTGGAAAATTCCTTCCTGTCCCTGCTCAGGGACAGGGGAAGTCCACTGGGAAGGGGTGAGGAGGGAGATGAAGGCTGGCGGTGCTGGAGCAGCAGCCTCTGGGGGGGCCAGGCTGGAAGGCTCAGCCCCGCCTCCCCTCCCCCACAGGGGCCTTCTTCATCCCCTACTTCATCTTCTTCTTCACCTGCGGCATCCCGCTGTTCTTCCTGGAGGTGGCGCTGGGCCAGTACACCAGCCAGGGGAGCGTCACGGCCTGGAGGAAGATCTGTCCCCTGCTCCAGGGTGAGTGCCCCCTCCTGGAGCCTCTGCCATCACCCCATCACCGCGGGCCCGCCCTCCCTGCCCTTCATCACCCTCCTCACTCATTCCATCTGCGCCTGTGCTAAGTGCCGGAAGGAATATAACTGGGTTATCATGGTAGTTACAAGGACTGGACCAGCAGTAGAGCCGGGGGTGGGGGTGGGGCTGGTCTTGCAAGTGGGAACCTGGAGCTTGTTCTTCAGTCCTGAGTATAGGGATGTCTCAGATGTCCCCAAAGTGTGAAATCATAGCATGTCTCGCCTCCAGCGGGCCCTGCTGTGTGTCAGGGTTCACGCAAGCCCCTCACGTGCAACTTCCTCATCTAACACGATTAACTTCCTTTTGTGGATGAGAAAAGTGAGACCTTTACTGAGGGCTGGCCTGCAGGCCTAGGGAGCTGCAAGCCCCGGCTCTTCCCTGAGGGTGTCTGTCAGGACAGGGCTGCTCCCCTCTGTGCATCTCTGGTATTAATGTGAGCAGCTGGGGGCGCTCTCCCCCCAACCCCTCTTTAGTGGACTGGATAGTCCTGTGGGGGTCAGTGGGAAGCTCTAGGGGTCTCCTGTGCCACAGCGTCTCCCTGCTTATTTGAAATGTAGAGGGATTCTTCTCCTGTCAGCCCTTGAGTGAGCCCCCGGGACTGCTGTCCAGCTTAGCAGGCTGGACAGAGAGGGGCCTGGGAGATGGACATTCTGAATCCTGAACCATCCGGAGACCTGACCCCCGATTGGGGGAGGGGAGGTGGGAGGAGGATAAGGCTACTCTGGCACTGATTCTTTTTGGGGCATCCAGGGGCCCCTTAGGGAAGCAGCAGTGAGGGGGTGGGGCAGGGTGAAGTTTGGCTCCCCCACCTTTGTATACTTCAGGAGAGGGGGGGGCTGTGTGGGGCGGGGGAGGTTCTGCTCCAGACCCCAGCAGTAGCCTAAGGTTCCCCCAGCTGGGCGGTCTCTAGGTCCAAGCATGCTCACAGGTAGCACATGAGCTACCTGGCCCAGGGTCCGCCAGGGGCAGAGTGACTTAGCCAGGTAGGGAACGGCTGGAGGGAAGGATTGCTGTTCCTGCTTCTTCCCAAGTGGAAGAGGCTCCCCAAGGCTGGGGTCTTTGGGAGAGCTCACCCCAGGTGTGCTCTGTGTAGGTGAGACTTCCAGCTGCTTACTACCTGCTTAGCTGCGTGTCCCCTCCTTTCCCCCACCCAAGAACCACCTAGCTCACAGTCTCCCCCGCTTGCTGGCTCGCCTCAGAGCCTCATCCCTGCCCTGGAGAGGGGCGCCCCGCCCTCCACAGCCTGGCGCAGCCTCCGCTGCTGCTGGTGTTTATGGGCCTTGGGGTCAGGCGCACAGCGCGTTCCGTGGCGAGCCCTGCACAGTGGCTGCTTGTTGGGGTGTTTGGTTGCCTGTGGGCGTCTGTGTGTGGTTCCAAATATGCCTCCCGGGGCATTGCCAGTTCCAGGGGGACCCTCCTGCCTCCGCCAGCAGCCCGAGGCGCCTGCCCTTCTGAGGTTGCTCTGGGGCCCTGCCTGCCCTGGCCACAGGCATTCTGGGGGTCCCGCCTGCCATGGCCTGCGTGTTTTGCAGCAGCCTGCACCCAGAAACACCTTTCCTGGCTCGCCTGAGTTTTCAAGGCCAATGAGGCCAGTTGAATAATCGGGGCGCTGGTGGAGGGGGAGGGAGGTTTGTTGACAGTCAGCACTGATTTTTCAACCCGCCCTCCGGCTGTTGGGTGTTCTGTTCATCAAGTATTTGAGCTTGGACTTCGTGGGGCTGGGTGGGCGGGGGCCCCCACCGCCTCCAGCCTGGCTCACCCCCCACCCCCCACGCCCGCACCCCCTGTGAAGGTCCCTGTGGAGAAGCTCCCTCTTGTGTAGGGCGGAGGCTGTGTGGATGGGGGTGACCCGGGCAGCCCCTGCCCCCTCCCACCTGTGAAGCGCTTGCCCCACACAGAGGCCAGCGAAGCGCTTCATCCCTGGGTGCTACGGCCCTGGGCCTGGCTCTGGCCTTTTGTTGCTGCTGTGGAAATGGCATTTGCGGGACTCCGCCCTGCTTGGCAACCATCTCTTCCCTCTTCCTCGCTGCTGTCTTCTGATTTTTGCTTTTGAGACTGAGTCTTGTCAAATTCCCCCTACTTACTCCTTTGTTCTTCCTGCCCCTTTTCATTTTGCAATAGACCAAGAACACGTAGATAGGCAAAAAGAACAAGCACTTTCAAAGCGAGCTGAAATCCTATCACTAGAAAAGCACTTGTGAGCCATGAGAAGACAATCCCTGCAGTTTCTCATTTCTCTCATTAATTCTCATTAATAAGATGTAATATACTTGTGTGTGTGTGTGTGTGTGTGCGCATAGTGCTCTGGAACTCTTCTTTTTACCAAATTACAAGTGGCTTCTCGTGCTGATCTACCCGGTGGCTCTCGCGTGGCACCAATATCCCTCTAGCCCCCACCGGCAGTTTCTTACTTTGGCTAACACTGGTCTCCTGGATTCTCTTGGATGTCCCCCACCCTCCCTCGCTCCGGAAGGCATTGGTCTGGCGTCGGTGGTCATTGAAGCCTATTTGAACATCTACTACATCATCATCCTTGCCTGGGCTCTCTTCTACCTGTTCAGCTCCTTTACCTCTCACCTGCCCTGGACAACCTGTACCAATTCCTGGAACACAGGTACCTGTCACTTTGCCCTTGGGATGGGGCCGCTCTCTAAGGGATCATTCATGGTGCTAGGGGTGAGCAATAATGATGGAGCACTTGCCCGGAAGCCAAGCTATGCACACTCTGGTGCCAGCCGTGCTGGTTGACCCTGCTCTGGAACCCGAGACCGGCCTCCAGGACACCCGGACACCTGAGGGGGATGTGAATGCGCCCACACGTGCATACGCACCTAGTCACCTTCACACATCCATCCGGTCAGCTGACAGATATTTGCTGTGCCCCTTCCATGTGCTCAGCACTGTGCCAGCTACGAGAGATCCCGGGGTGGGCACAAGCATGGACCTAACCCTCACTGAGCATACAGTCTAGTGGCAGAGACAGACAGATTAGCAAGACAATGACCAATTGTGGCGGGTGAAACAGTGCAGTGACTTCTGGCAGGGGTGGGAGAAATGCTGGCTTGAGGGCTGGAAGATGAGGAAGGGCTGCCATGGGAACTGCATTCCGAGGGGAGGAAGGGACGGATCGCCCTTTGTCTGCTGAGTGGAGAGAGTGGGCAGGTGCAGAGAGCTGTCAAGTGGGCCACCCACACGGGGTCAGAGTGCATCCGAGGTCTGGATTGTGTCAGAGGTTGGTTCAGGAGGCACAGCTAGGTTCCCTGAAACAAGGCAGCTCCTGGTACTCTGGAGAATGGAGGCTCCCGGGAAGTTCTGGGGACCACGAGGCTGCAAGGCTGGAAGGTCAAGAGGGACTGGGGTGAGAGGGCATCTCTGTCTCTCTCATCTCTAGCGGATGCCTAACCGTCACCCCCTTGTCCCCAACAGAACATTGCATGGACTTTCTGAACCACTCAGAAGACAGCACAGTGACCCCCTCTGAGAACTTCACCTCACCTGTCATAGAATTCTGGGAGTAGGTGCTGGACCTGGTTGCACATGCCAGGGGGCCTCAAGCAGAGAAAATGCTTTTGCCTGAGGCCTGGGACTTGGGGGTGCAAATTTTAAAGTTTCTCTGTGCATCCTTTCCAACATGTACCACCTCCACCCCGACCTCACATCGCTACCTACACTAGTCCACTCACCCCACGGACCCCAAATGCACCTGTATCTATCTAGATCACACATTTACCCATGTGACATGCCTTTCTCCACCCTCACATCCACTGCACCCACATATCAACCCTCATATGTCCAGGGGTGCTGGAAGAAGACTGCACCAGCTTAGGAGAGCTGATTGCACCATCTCTCGCCAACTCTATGCTCAGGAGGTCATGTGGCAGCTTGAAGCTGGCCAAGGTGGGAGGGTTTATACCACAGGAATTGGCAGAACCTACACTCATGGTCCCTGTTCCCCACAACCCCCTGCACCCTCACACCATCTCTATTCACACATATGTACCTTCATCTCAGGCAAGTAAACGTGTCCCTGCACACTGGCCTAGAACCCACACATGTTCACCAGTATGTTCACATGTCGGCCTATCCCTCACACACATGTATGTCCCCAGTGGTACCCCCAATCTCACCTACACTTGTGCACACATCTCCATCACCCCCATGCAGTTTTAGATATTAACACTAATATGACTCCTCCATTTAATACCCATATGATTGCGCATCAACCTGTATAGATAAATATCTGCTCTCCTTTTACTCATTCATACATTCCTCCCTTCTCTCTTTCTCTTCTCTCTCTCTCTGTACAATAGAGAAATCTGGATGAGTTAGAAAGACAAAGATACCTATGGGATTACGTGATTTGCTCTTCTAACAGCCAGGGGCATACAGAACACAGGTGGGAACATGGCGTGGCCATGGGGAAGGGCTTGGGAGGGGGGTGGGGAGCCTGAAATAGGAGATCTGTGGGGTCAGCTCGGAGGATCAGGAGACTTGACAGAGACGCTCTGTCTCCTCCCACCTTTGACCTGTTTTTTATCTTTCCTATCAGGAGACGCGTTCTGGGCATCACCTCGGGCATCCACGACCTGGGGGCCCTGCGCTGGGAGCTGGCCCTGTGCCTCCTGCTCGCCTGGGTCATCTGCTACTTCTGCATCTGGAAGGGGGTCAAGACCACAGGCAAGGTGAGGCATCCTGGCTCCCGGTCAGCTCTCTGTGGTCCCCAGAGTTCATGGGGACATTCTCAGGGGTCCCTCTGGAGAGCTGAAAGAGAGGGTAGTCGAGGGGAGAGGCATGGAGAGAGCAGAAGTGGGAGGGCTGAGTTTAGCTCAAGACAAGGAAAAGATTTCTTTTTCAATATGACCTTAGAGACCTGTTTACACAAGTGAGATACAGAGGGAATGTGAAAATAAAAGTCAGAGCAAAGCTGCACCAGCCATTGGCGAGAGGGTAGGTGAGACCTGCTAATCCTTTTTGTTTGTTGTATTGCTTCCTCTTTCTAGTATGTGCATGGAGCTGTGTGTGTGTATAACCCAGCGAGGGTCACCTATTCTCATGACTTGCTTTTTGTGTTGAACACATAAAGACCATTTTTTGTATGACCTGGCAAAGATTACTATTTTTGAGGTGGTGAGTTTCTAGTCATTAAAGGGGTTCGAGGTGAGAATGGACAAAAGTGGCTTGTTTGTATAGAGAGAGTTCAGATTTGAGCTTTATTTCCAATTGAGACTGATGCTTCATGGTTTTTAAGGCCGGAAATATGTACTCGATGGAATACTACACAGCTGTGAACAAAGATGAAATAGTGGCAATTCAGATAAAACATAACTTGGGGTTATGTTAAGTGAAATCAGTCAAAAAGCGAAAGATAGGTATTAGGTGGTTTCATTCATCTGTGGAATATAAGTAACCAGAGAACACACACCAGCAACATACAATGGGATAAATCTTGAAGCATATGAAAGAATATAATGGTTGCTAGAGAGAATGGGGATGGGGGAAAGAGCGAGGGAAGGAGGGAGGCAGAAGGGATATTGACATAAGTGGTTTGGTGCTGGGTGAGTGGCTACATGCACCTATGGAAGAACAAAAATGTCACTTCAAAAATTAAAATAACAATTAAAATGAATAGAGTCAGGAATAGACAGGAAACTGACTTCTTTGATTAACCTGTTCCCAGAGTGGCTTCCTCCTTCCATGGATTGTTGTCATGAGAAGAATAACAGTGTCTGTAATGACCAAAATAGCAATAGCAATAATAATATAGGTGACGTCACCACCTCGAATAAGGAGTTGAGCTTGGTCAGGGGCCTTAAAGCTTGTGTGTCTCCATCCTCCCGGGGCTCAGGCCCCTGTGCCTGGAAAAGTACAGTCTAAATTTCCCACAGCTCATTGTTCAATGTTCCCTGGAGAAGGGGAGAAACACAACATCCAGGAGAAGGGATCGAAGGAGACCAGTCAGGATTTAAAAATAGTCTTGGAAATGTTTTGGCTGGAAACTTGCCCCTTCCCTGTCCTTCCTGCTCCCCGCCTTGCCCAGCTGATAAGTATCTCACCCTCTGCTGGGGAGCCTAAGACCCACTGGCATGTGACAGGAAGGTGTGGAAAGTTTCCTGTGCTCACCCCCACTCCGAGTTCTCCAAGAAGGTCTGGGACACTGGGCCAGGTGTGCTGGCACTTCCTGGGGAGTACCCACGAGGGGGGCACTGCAGACTCCTGGTCCTCTCCAGGCTGCTGTGCTCCCATCTGGGGTGACCTTGGCCTGTTCCCTCTCCAGGTTGTTTATTTCACAGCCACTTTTCCCTACTTGATGCTGATCATCCTACTGATCCGAGGCGTGACCCTCCCCGGGGCCTATGAGGGCATCATCTATTACCTAAAGCCAGATTTGCTTCGCCTCAAGGACCCCCAGGTAGGTGCCATGCTGGAGACCCTCTCCCCAGATGTCTGCCACCTTAACCAGATGTGGACTTCTGAAAATGTCTGATGGATTGCTTTTCTCCTGGTTCAAAAGCAATGAATGCCTTGCAGCTGGCTAGGGAGACAAATGACGAAAAAGGAACTAAAAATCTCTCGCAACCCTACCACTTCACATTTTAGTGTATTTCCTTCCAACTGTTTTTCTAGGTGGAGTGTGTGTGTGTGTGTGTTTTAACATAATTGAACTAATTATAGAAATATATCTTTTTCACTTAAATTATATTGTATGCATTTCCCATGTTTCCATTAAGCTCATTTACACATATCATTTTTGACGCATGTATAATATTCCCCTTGTTCGGCACCTGTTCATTCACTCATCAAATATTGTGGGCCCACTGACGGGCTGTAGTGATAGGGAAGGAGGCAGGTGAAGAGGCAAAACATGGGAGGTAAAACGCCCTCTGAGCTCTCCCACCTGGATAGGTGTCCTTTTTTCCACCCTCCCGTGTCCAGGACAGTCAGCTCAAGCACCTTTTCCAAAGATTGTGTATACAGCTGCAGTGACTGCCTTGCACTTAAATCTGTGACCACCTCTGTGATGACTTCCTGCCTGTAATTATGTGGTGTTACAAAGTGTACCTCTCAGGTCTTGTGCTGGGGGCCAGTGCTGGGGATGCCTCTGTTTCCTGCAGGGCCCAGGAGAGATTCAATGAGAGTTCATTTGGGAGGTCAAAATAGTAGCCTATGGTTGTTGTTGTAGCAATTGTTTTACTACTGCAAGACTGGATATTAGATTTAGTGGCCAATTGTGCCTCCCCTGGGACTTGTGTGAATCTGGGCGTGTTCGTCTTTAGACGGCAATGGCGCGGGCTTTTTGCGCCACGTTGCCTCTTGGCTTCCTCGGGCCCCGCTACTTGTCGAACGAGTGTAGGCCCTGGCCATCTCTGGGGGTGTAAGCAGCATGCCAGCATCCAGTGCTTGCTAGGTGCTCACCGAGCCCAGCACAGTGGACCCTGAAGGTGGGGGGCGGGGGGTGCCACGGAGAGGTGGGGTGCGAGAGGTGCTGCGGGATCATGGAGGGGCTGTGGCCACCCCAGCTCCAGGAGCTGGTGGGCTCCTCTTGCGCTCTCTCCACTGCCTTCTTGGGGTCTCCTGCAGGTGTGGATGGACGCGGGCACCCAGATCTTCTTCTCCTTCGCCATCTGCCAAGGGTGCCTGACGGCCCTGGGCAGTTACAACAAGTACCACAACAACTGCTACCGGTGAGCACTGAGGGGCCGGGTCAGGGGCCCTGCCTGCTCGTGGTCTAAGCGGGGTGTCCTGGGTGGGGTCCAGACAGGTTCGTTATCAGAGAGCAACAGATCATGTCACACCAACGCTGTGGGGTCATCCCAGGCTAAATCTCGTTCCTCCTCCCATTCCCCCTTTTCTCTGCTCTCTTCCTGACACCTCGGCCTTGTCCTTTTCTCCCGCTGATTTTCTCTCCTCTCCTTTCCCTTCCTTTTCTCGCTCCCCCTCCCCCTTTCTGACTCGACCTCTCCTCCCTTGGGGTGCGACCTCTCCTCCCTTGGGGTGCGGGTCGCTTTCTGCCCTTCCCTTCCTGCCTAATCCTCACTCACCCACCCCCACAGGGACTGCATCGCCCTCTGCTTCCTGAACAGTGCCACCAGCTTCGTGGCCGGCTTCGTGGTCTTCTCCATCCTGGGCTTCATGTCCCGAGAGCAGGGGGTGCCCATCTCGGAAGTGGCCGAGTCAGGTGGGTGCCGCTTTGCTGTCTGGGGCCTGAGAGGAGGGAGGGTGGAGGACACACATCCTCCTGAGGATCAGGGGGCCCAGCGCTGGCGCCGGGCCTGTCACAGAGCAGGCGCCATGGCAGGGGAGAGCGAAGGGGAGGGACCGGTGGAGGGGCCTGGGGGGCCTGAACAGGCAGATGAATGCACAGCCAGCTGGCAGCGCAGGGCCTGAGGGGAGCAGGGTCATCACCGGGTCTCCCTGCTTCCTGACCATGCTCCCCTGCACACACTCACACACACTCACACTCACACGGACACACTCACACGTGCGCACACTCATACACACTCACACACAGTGTTCTCACACACATGCTCACACACACTCGCTCTCACACACATCACACACACTTATACTCACACGTACTCGCATGCACACACTCACACATATGCTCTCTCACACACACACTTGTGCCCACATACCACTCACTCTCACACTCACACACACTCACTCACATGCACACTCACAATGCTCTCTCTCACACACGCGTGCTCACACACACTCGCTCTCTCACACACACACACTTACACTCTCATACACACACATGCTCTCACACACACTCGCACACACTCGTTCTCACACACACACACACACACACACACACACGGTGCCTGGGGACAGGGTCTTCCCTGAAGGCCCAGGCTCACTCAGAGTGTCGTGTGCCGGCAGGTCCTGGCCTGGCCTTCATCGCCTTCCCCAAGGCCGTGACGATGATGCCCTTATCCCAGCTGTGGTCCTGCCTTTTCTTCATCATGCTCATATTCCTGGGGCTGGACAGCCAGGTGTGTCTCTGCCCCCCACAGCTCACCCCCACCCTCTTTGCCCACGTGCCCGCAGTCCTGACTTCCGGCCCAGCCCTCTTCCCCCGACCCTACATTTCGGGGCCCCTTCTGCGGCCCCAGGGTTTGTCCTGTGGCTGGTAGGGCGAGCCCAGGCTTCAAGACCATTCTGAGGAGAACATCAGTGAGGAGGTTCTTGCTTTATCCCCCCAGCCTTGACCTCCCTAACAGATGGAGCTCCCCCCTAAAATGTCCCTCCAGCCGCCTTCCAGCTGCTTAGCTCAAGCTGCCAGGCCTGTCCCCTGAAATCTTGGGGGCAGAACAAACCTCCTCTGACCTCACTGCTGGGACCTTCTGTTATGGAGATGTGGCCAAGGCTGGCCTCACCCCTTGCACCCCCCTTCTGCCCTTTGCCCTCTGGGTGAGCTGGGAGAGGGGGAGCGGGCTGAGAGGGGGCCGGGGCCAGGCAGGGAGCCGGCCTCACCTGCGTCCCCTCTGGCCTGCAGTTTGTCTGTGTGGAGTGCCTGGTGACGGCCTCCACGGACATGTTCCCCAGGCAGCTCCGGAGGGGCGGGCGGCGGGAGCTCCTCATCCTGGCCATCGCCGTCACCTGCTACCTGATCGGACTCTTGCTGGTCACCGAGGTGAGAGGGTCACTGCGGGGAGCTACGGGGCCACCACTGGCCACACTTCCCCATGGGCGTCGACACTGCCCCTGACAGCGAGGCTGAGGGCCCGCGCGGACACCTGTCTGCTGGCTCTGGGTGGCAGAAGCACAGCTGGCCTAAGTCGAATGGGACACTTGGGGGTCAGCAGGGGGAGAAGTCCATGTTTTGGCTGCAGGCGTGGCTGACGCCGGCACTCTGAGACACTGTAAGGAATGCCCCTCTCTCCTGGCCTCTTCCCTCTCGTGACTTCTTTCTTTGCCCCATGTCCCTCTGACCCCCAAGCAGTCTGCCACAGCTTCAGGCTTACCTTCCCCCGCCCAGGCAACCCCAGAGGAAGAGAGGCCGTTTCCTGAGAGCACCCCAGTGCTGGCTGGCCACTTCTTCAGGCCAAAGCAGGGGCAGGCGCACACTCAGAGTGAGACAGAGCCCGCTTCCGGGAGCTGGACACTTCCTCGTGTCCCCGCGGAGGTCCCGACCTTAACTGAGGGGCCTGAGGCGGGGGTGGGGGCAGGACCAGCACCCTGTAGAAGCAAGGAGAGGCGCAGAGGAGGGGCAGGACAGGGCTGCAGGGGCATGCACTGCCCCCACCGGCCAGGCCTCAGCCCACGCCCCTCCACAGGGCGGGATGTACATCTTCCAGCTGTTTGATTATTACGCGTCCAGCGGTATATGCCTGCTCTTCCTCTCGCTGTTTGAAGTCATCTGCATCAGTTGGGTGTACGGTAAGTGGAGTGCTTGGGAGAACACTTCCAGGACCAGCTAAGGGCAGGCTTTTCCCAGGATGTGGAAGGCGAGCTTGGCCCTCTGGCTCCCGGGACGTTGCTCCGTCGCTGGGAGCCCTTGCAGGCTGGGCCGCTGGAGCGAAGCCTGTGCTTTTCTCATCACAACACACTGAGTTCCTTGACAGTGAGGGGAACTATAAATAACAGTTTTCCTGAAACAACAGCTGCCATGATGGGCCTTTGCTGGCTGGAGTCTTAGAAGGGAACTTCAGGGCCACTGAGTCTCCATAAACCCCACGTTCCCGTTCAGAATTCTCTGCTAGACCTAGCTGAATATTTCCACGGACAGGAAAATCGCTCCTGTGTTTTCCAGGTCTCCTTCCCAGTGTCCTAGCCTCCTCGCAGTGACTCAGCTCACCCTGCCCAGCCCTGAATGTTGGGACAGAACCTAGCCTCCCTCCAGCCCCTTTGGGGTGATGCATCTGCCTTGCCTTTTCTTCTTAGACTGAGCGAGGTGATTTCTGGCTCCTCAGTGGTGCTGAGGTACTAACCAGGGTGCTGAACATGGACCGTCCTGCTGGCTTGAGCCTGATAACAACAGAGGGGGAAATCTTAGGTGCCAACGTGCTGGCATGTGCCAAGCACTGTGCCAGGTTCCCAATGCCCTCTCACCATTGGCACAGCAGCCCTTTTGGGGCGTTATGGCAGCGAGAAGTGAGGCTCAGAGAGGTTAGGTCGGACACAAGACCAAGCCATTAGGCTCAGGGTGCAGAGGACAAGTGGGCCCATGTGATAGGACAAGCCGCAGAGAGGAAGGTTTCGGTCTTTCTGCCCATGCTGCCTGGTGTGGTGTCTTCTCTCCTTGGCACTGTCTCCTGCCTTCCCACCCCAAGTATCTAAGGTCTCCCTGATTCTCCCCTACAGCTTTTCAAAGTGGGTCCTCAGAGAGGGTGTGACAAGCTCAGTCCCCATGAGGTGTGATGACTGATAAGCCTCTCTGGTTTATCCCTACACGGCACTGACTGGTTAGCAGGGGGATATTTAGAAGTCAAAGGAATGACCCACTAATGGTGGCCTTCCACGCATCATGCATCAGCAGGAAGGCGTTTTTGGTGGTGAGAGCAGGCGAGAAGAACCCCCCAAGGGTGCTCCCCACCCAGGGTCCCCCTCACTTTTAGGAGATTGGCTGCGCCTGGCACTCACAGCAAACGTGGAAACCCGAGTATATTAAGCATTGTGTTCATGAACACAAATCAGACCCCTCACTGCCCCTCACTGGGGGTAGGAGTGGTTCCTCCGGGTCTGGCATCTGGACAGCCATGTGCCTCCAGCATCTGGGCCCGTGTGGAGTGCTGTGCTAGGCCTGGAGCCTCACTGTTCTCACCTGACACTGAATCCCCCTGCTACACAGACAAACACGCGTTTGCTTAGCTCTTGAGCCCTCCCCTGTCGTTTGGATGGCAGTGAACTGACTCCAGGGCACCCGCTGGCTGGTAGCGGCCTCCCCTCTCCTTACCCCTGCCCTGTGCCTTGCTCCAGTCTCCCCGCTCAGGGTGGGGGAGGACCACCAAGCCAGGTGAGTCCTTCCCAACGCCCGAGCTGACCCCTCCCGTCTCACATGCGTCCCCACCACGCCTGAGCAGGTGCCAACCGTTTCTATGACAACATCGAGGACATGATCGGCTACCGGCCGTGGCCCCTGGTGAAGATCTCCTGGCTCTTCCTGACGCCCGGACTTTGCCTGGTACGTCCCTCCATTCCTTTCTGCTGCAACAGACGCAGGACACAAGGAGGAGGGCTCCCGCCACCTGGGGCCCCTTCCCCGCCTGTCCGGTGTCCCCGGGAGGCTGGCCCTTCCCCCAGTGTGAGTTCCCTGCCCTTCTCTGCCTGGGCCATGTCGTTCATCTATTCTAGCATTCCACCCACGTGTCTTCTATCACCGGATATTTAAGTAGTTCTCTGTCTCATCCACGTCCACCCCTTCTTCTTTCTAGGCCACTTTCTTCTTCTCCTTGAGCAAGTACACACCTCTCAAATACAACAACGTCTACGTGTACCCCACCTGGGGATACTCCATAGGCTGGTTCCTGGCCCTCTCCTCCATGGTCTGCGTCCCGCTCTTCGTCATCATCACCCTCCTGAAGACCCAGGGTTCCTTTAAGAAGGTGGGGCCCAGGGGCACGGTGCATTAAGGGGGTGTGAGAGGGGTGGGCTTTGGGCAGGACAGCGCAGCCCAGCCCAGGCCCAGTCCTGAGTGTGGGGCAGCCCTTCAGTCTAATGGAACCTTAAAGAGAAGGGTCTAGTGGCTTCATTTTCAGGAATATTCAAAAGCCCCAGAATCCTGACCTTTTGGACTCTGCCTGTGCTGGTAACTGTCGAAGATTAAGGGGAGAGCTCAGCTCGAACAGCAGTGGGTGTGCAAAACGCCAGAACACAGGCTGGTGTGCCCAGCGTCCTTGCCCTGGGGGACCAGCTACCAGTTCATTCCAGTCACGGTCTCCTGGCTTCTTATCTTAACCCTTTCTGGGGTTTAGAGTTTGGGACAGGCCTTCCTGGAGAGAGGTAGCCAGTATCCCTCAACCCCAAACAAAGACACTACACTTGTAGAAATCGAGCTGGCCTATAAGTAACAGACACCCAGCCTGCTATGAGCAAAGAAGCTTATTTTTTGTCTTACCTGTCAAGAAGCCAGAGAGGGGACTCCTGGCTTTTGGCTCAGCTGCTTTTAAAGACTGGTAGGGACCAGAATCTCCCTGTGTGTCTGCTCCACGAGCTTGTGTTTTATTATCATCCTTATCACCTCATGCCTCATGGTCCCAAAAAGTTTTCATGATTCTGGTCATCACATCCACATCCAGGACAAGAAAGAGGAAAAGAGATAGCAACAATAACATAGCAATAGTCCTACCCATAAGAAGAAAATAGAAAGGAAAAATAGACGCTTGCTGAGTATAGAATAATAGTATAAGCCTAAGAATAGCAATAATAAAAAAATAGGCACCAAGTGTCCACCTGGCCTGTGCCAGGCCCCATTTGGGAAGCTATGTGCTGTTACGTCAGCATGCCAGCCGCCTTCTCTCCTGGACCCATGGGCTGAGCGAGGGCTGTTGCAATGAGCTGGGGCAGGCGAGAAGTACCTGAAGGGAGTGAGGACAGTTATTATGGGAAGAGGGTGAAGCCAGACTGAAAAAGAAGGTTCTTTTGGGATAGAAGAGAGCTTGGGCTGGGGAAAAGGGTTATGAATTTGGATTATCTTAGGAAAAGATTTAAATAGCTGCTGGAGAAGAACCTCATTTTGCAAGGGCACAGAAGGGGTGAAATGGCTTCTCTAAGACTGCACAAATAGTCAGTAGGGGGCTCTGGCACCAGGCAGTCCCACCCTTAGTGACCGTGTTTTGCCTCTTCTCTCTGCTCAGAATATTTATTGACTTATATTGTACTGAGTTGCCCCCAGGTGCCTGGCTCTGTGCGGGCCCTGGGGACATGGACATGAGGAAACATCCTTCCCTCTCTCACCCTCTCTACCCCCTCCCTCCTCTCCACAGCGCCTGCAACAGCTCATCACCCCAGACCCCAGCCTGCCACAGCCCAAGAAGCACTTGTATCTGGATGGTGGCGCCAGCCAGGACTACAGGCTCTCCCCAATAAAGGGGGGACTCATAACTAGGGAGAAGGAGACCCACTTGTAGGATGTGGTTACTGAGCCAGGAGCCTCATCAGGACACTGCTACCTGCAGTGGACAGCTGTCACCTCTGTCCCCTCTCACAGCACTGCCAAGAACCTCTCGACGTCCATGGGCACCCAGCTGCAGGCCAGACCCCTCCTCTCATCAGCTGGAGCAGCCCCTCCTGGGGGCTGGAGGTGGTCCAACTGCACTCGTCAGGCTGTAGAGAGACTCCTGTTGGGACGTGCCATCTTATTTATAAAGGGGGGTGGCTTTGCTGGAATCAGCCATCAATGGGGGTACACGGCATGGCGAGGAACTCTCCTGTCGGAGTTCACCACAACTGTTTCCAAAGGGTTGTGCCGTGACCCAGGCCGAGGACCTGACGGAACACATTGTGTTAGAAGCGACAGCTGGATGCACTGCACAGGACCCTGACTTTCCATAGAGGGGGCACTAGGCTTAGTGTTCTGGGGTACACGGGGAGGGAACTAGAGAAACTGCCCGGAGGAAAGTCTTCACACGCCAGGACCCTCGTGGATTTTCTCAGAGGCAATCTCTCAAGGTGACCTGGCCCATACTTTCCTGTAGTGTTGTCATCAACTCACTGAGTGTGAGGCTGGAAGGGACTTGATGATCTCCAGACTTTGCAAAGCTGACATGATCTGTTCTCCACTCCCGCACCCATGGCAGACATTGCCAATCGATCACAGATCTTTCCCCCCCTCACAATCCTTCCACAGTGCTTCAGGCAGCTTCACTCACCATCTTGCTTTTGTTCAAACCCCTGGACCAAAAAATCCTTCATGGAGGAAGAAATCGAGAACCAAAGAGACAAAGTGACTTTTTCAACTTCACACAGCTCCTCAGGGCCAGACACAGAATGAAAACTCTTGTTCTCAGGCCAGTGTCATTCCCATCACACCCTCCTGCCTTAGTTAACAAACACATTGGTTCACCTGCTTTGTGTGCAGCCTTCTTTCCCTTGCCTATCTCTCTTCACTTGCTCTGTCTTTGTAGGGAGAGAGGTTTCCCCTGTGGAGGGGAAGCAACTCTCTCCATTTGGTGCCCCTGCCTTGGTCTTTCCTCTGACTGCCCATACTCATCCGGCCAGATTGCCTCTCTGACCCCTTTGTGCTTGCAACCTTCTCCCCTCCCCCATGGGAGGCCTTCAAGTCTGAGAGCTCTCCTCCCCTACCCCCCACTCCCCACTGACCACAACTCCTCCCTTGTCCCCCCTTCTCCCATGTTCCCCCGCCCCGCCCCAAATCTTGCCAGGCTCTTCCCTGTCTGGGGAAGGCTTCCTGGAAGAGGAAAGCTGGGCTTGGCAAAATTTCATGTTCTTGAGTTTAGGAGGGAAGTGAGGAGAGGGATAGAATAAGGCTTGGCCACTTTGGGAGCGGTTTCTTGGGTGGGAAGTAGGAACTGGAAGAGGGAGTCATGTGCTGGGACTGATGAATAGAGAGATGTCACCCAGCACCCCTGGCCAGTGAGTTCCACCTGCCAGAACCCCCAGGCCACCCCCAGAGTTCCCATTAGCCTTCACCTAGTTCTCTGAAGGGTTTTCAGTTTGTCAGAACAAGTATGGTGGCAGGCTGACTACAAGCTGATGTCCTGGCTTGTGGCAGTCCCTTTCTCCCTCCCTCTGGACTGCTCTGTGCTCTTGGGTTCGCCCTTCTGGGATTAGTTTGTGTGGAAGGAAAGAGGTCTAGGGGAAAGGGTTGGAGAGGAGCCCTGTTTCAACAAGCTTGCTCTCATTCATGAGATCCAGGGGCACAGCGAACAAGCATGGTGCTCTCTGCTGCCACCTGGTGGCATGTGGGAGCAGTGCCGCCTTCTCAGCCTGGTTTCAGCCTCCTGCCCACCCTTGACCTGCAGGAGGAAAGCTCCTTCACCCTGCCCTCATTGGGCAGTTGGACAGGGTGGCCAGCTCTCTTCCCTGTGTGAGACCTTGCCTTCTGGAAGCCAACTATGTTTTTCATGTTCCTTTCTCTGACCCCAGTGGGGTCCCCCAGGAGAGCCTGCTTGTTGCAGAAGACATGGACGCAGAAGCAGCTCTCTTCAGCATGCTGGGTCTTTGGAGTTTCAGTGCTTTCACCGAGAGAACAGCATTTCTTGTAGGCAGTTCCATGGTTCTGGCCATCTGCAGAGGAGGGCGCACAAGCTCACCCCAACTCTGACCTGAGTCGAAGTCTGCTTCTGCAGACTCCTCTCTGCTGCCTGGTCTTCTCCCACCGCACCCAAGTCCACCAGTACTCTCAGCTGTTCCAGATCCCCTGGCTTTACCCTCTGGAGTCTAGAGGCCTCTCCGCTCTGGCGCAGGGGGCTGCTGTGGCTGCAAGCCGGTCTGCAGCTCCTCCCTTGGGCTGCCTGTAGCTGCCGGCACTCAGCATGGAGAGGCCTGTGCCCAGAGAGACCTGCATGGGGCCTGTTGGGGCTGAAGGAGCCGGCAGGGGCTCGGGGAAGGGGATTTCAGGCCAGCTGCACACCTCATGGAACCCATTCCTACTGCTTGTGCGTGTGTACGCACATGCACATAAAGTCCATGTGTGGCGTTACATCTTGGGATCTGTTTTTAACTCACTTCCTAGGCTGTTTGAGTTTCAAACAGGTTGCCAGAGGCCTCACCTGGCAGCTATGACTTGTTTGGCTAGTCGGATATTTTTTAAAAGGCTTTTTAAGTGAATGCCTTGGGGCCCTGAGTTCGCCACAGGCTTCCTGTTCTTCATACCTGACCTTTTCAAAGTCATGTTTGAAGGTACTTGAATTTATAACCTGTGCCTTCAAGGAAGAGCTGAGAGCCAGGGCCAGCTGGTCAACCCTGACTTGAGTAGGGGGAGGAAACCAAAGGCCCGTGGTCTCAGGGGACCCAGAGCCTCAGAGGCAGCCACCAGGGGAGAGCCACGCTCTGGTCATGCAGGGACATCCCACCTGATGCTCCTTATTAATCCTTGGCCCTTTCTGCTCCCTTCCAGCACTTCTGTTTCCCAACGAAGGCTGATGGCCAGGCTTAACTTCAAGTTTGATCTGGTATCAGACTCTTCTAGCCCCCACTTCAAAGTGACCTTCAAAGCCCAAAGGACCAGTCAAATTTTCTGATGTTGGGGCTCTCTTCTGCCTCCCAAGTCCATCCAGATGAGCTTAGTGATCATCCCCTTTTGCCACTTATTTTAGACAAAGTCATTTGTAGGGGGCCACTCTCCTCTACTCTGAGGCTAAGATGGTCTCTGCTTTCTGGGCACCATGCACCACCCACCTTCCCAGGCTGGCTTCCATCGGAACTGGCTCTCCAAAGCTGCTGGGGGTCTCTGGGTTTGCTGTCCCCAACTACTCAGCTGGGTATGTCCCCCTCGCTAAGCCGTGGCACTGGGCTGGGCTTGGATTCACTGCCTCCTGCCTCACCTGGGAGCCCCCTCTGGAGCCCCCTCTCCTTGTCCAGAGTGTAAGTTGCCCTGGGCAGGAGCTGAGGAAGGTGCTGGGCCCCTTCCCACCCAGCCCAGGCTGGGAGAGTGCTGAATGCTTGCACTCCGCTGAGAATAGCAGGACCCAGCCTGAGGAGAGAACTCTCCCTGCATCTGTGTGAGCTGGGCTCTCAGGGCAGGGCCACGTGCTCCTTACCTCGGCAGCCCGCTTTTACAGCTTCCCCCTCCCTGCTCCATGCAGAGCCTCAGGAGAGCAAGCTCTGGTTTGGGGCCTCCAGGAAATGTCTGGACCCCACCTCCAAGTCACTCCCCAACCCACCCTCCAGGACCAGGTCACTCTCTGGCCAACTCAACGTGCAGCCAGGACCTCTTGTCTCTTCTGTGTCAACTCTGCCCGGCAGTTCTGTCATGTGCTGCCAGCAGTGCAGGCTCTTGGGCCTCAGACAGAACCCCTCCCCCATGCCCCCACTGGGCCAGAGAGAGAGCCAAGCTACCAGCCTGTCAGATAAGCCCTTTGCTGTCAAGGTGAGTGGACAGCATCATGGAAATAGGATTTAGGACTGGAGAAAGTAACAGATTCGTATGAGGTGCGGGAGTGCAGAGGACACCTACGACTGGGCCCTGGAGGAGAGAGGTGTGGAATTTGGAAGGAAGATGCCAAGCCTGGGTTGTGGGCAAAGGGCATAATCAAGGTGAGAGACTCACACCTTGTCCTAAAACTGCCAGAGGCACAGAGGAGCTCCTTGAAAAGCCCTCAGCCCACCTGCCGCCTGCCCCCACCGCCTGGGCTCACCTCCTAGGAGGCCCTGTGCTCCTCACCTGCCCTTGATGCCCCAGTGCAGGCTGGGAGTCACTCCTGCAGGCTGGGAGCACCTGAGTGACGAGGAGCGGCTCCTGCAGCTGGGTCACACAAGGCACGTGCTCCCACCTGGATCTCTAGGTCACTGATTCCGGGAAGCCGGTCACCATGCCATGTGGACACCCCAGCAGCCCAATAAAGGGGCCCATAGGAAGAAACACAGGGTTCCAGCCCATGGCTATCTGCAGCTTGTTGCCATGAACCCCTGCAGAGTGAGCACACACCCTCCCCCACACCCCCAACCTCCCTCCAGCTTCCACACCCCTGCCCCTCCCAGCCTCTAGTGGCTGCAGGCCTGGCTGACATGGGCTGTAAGCCAAGGGGCCCCCCAAGCCAGAAAAGCCCAGCCAGAGGACCTTGAATTCCTGATTCGCAGTGAAATATGGAGCATCCTATCGCATCACGTCTCTGAGTTTGGAGTCATTTGCTAAGTAGCAGCAGATATGCATGCAGGCTCAGGGCTCCCCGAAGCACAAGATCAGCTTATTGAGGGTCAGGTGTGGCCCCTCATCAGAAGCCTCCTCGTGCTGGACAGGGAGGGCTGAGCCCTTTGCCTCTCCCCCATGCCCTCACCCAGCCCAGGCCCTTCAGGGCCCTCCCTGGCCTGGGCCTGGCCCTTTGCCCCACTCTCAGGCAGGCGAGGGCTGCCCCCTGAGCCCCCACATGCTACTCCCTGATGGCCCCGAGAGTGTGGCTCCCCGCGACGTAACAGCTCAGGGATGTAGGAGGGCTGAATGGACCTGACAGGATGAGGAGCTTGTTAACCACTCACCAGCAGAGATGCCAGGGGAGAACAGCGGAGGGCTGGTGGGGCCTGCAGCCAGACCCTCAGGCGCCCAAGGCAGGACCCTCCACCTGCTACAGCCTGTCACTCCTCACCCAGGACAAGGCCCACGGAGAGCCAGGCGCCTCTTCTCTCAGACTCAGCGCCTGGGGGAAGGGGGGCAGATGCTCTTCCTGGCCAGAGGGTCTGCAGCCAGTGTGTTGACTCCGGTCAGTTTAGAGAAGATTCCAGGAGGAAGGTGGGGACCCGAAGGTGGCCAGAGCGGCCAGGCCAGTGTGGCAAAGGAGGAGCAGTGCTCGCCGGCCCCAGGCTGTGCTCTGAGCTTAGTTGAGAGTTGTCTCCTCTCTTGATGCTTTAGGATATTCTAGGAGCAAAGCCAGGTTCCTCCTCCATGCCAGTCCCTCCTCTGTCCCTGGTAACTGGAAGGGGCTGGGGGGTTGGAGGAGGGGGTTAGGCTAGGGGGTGGTGGGGGAGCAGCTTCTGCACCTTCTGCCTGCTGAAGGGAATTGTAACTCACTCTGAAGTATGATCGATAAGAGTTGATCAGGCTATGACGTTTTCTTCTGTTCCAAGGCTACAGTTGCTTTTAAAATCTATAGTAAGTATTAATTTAGGATGAACAAAATGTAGTCTATGTAATGTTGATTTAGAATGATGTACATTTGAACCCTGTATGCTATTATCAGCCTCCATTACTGCCACAAGAGATTAAAAAACAGAGAATAAGCATTGAATTGCATTGATTACTTTTTCTACAGCTCTTGACGCCATCAGTGTTTTTCTCCTTCACGCTTTTAATAGTGTTGGGGGAAAGGATATTCACTCTGTTAGTAGTGTTGGGGCGGGGAAGGATGTCCAGAGCAAATGCCACAAACAGGTTTATGGACCCCAAC